GGAAGGAAGGAAGGAAGGAAGGAAGGAAGGAATGAAGGAAGGAAGGAAGGAAGGAAGGTAAGTAGCACTTAGACTTATATACCGCTTCACAGTGCTTTACAGCCCTCTCTAAGAGATTTACAGAGTCAGCCTCTTGCCCCCCAACAATCTGGGTCCTCATTTTACCCACCTCAGAAGGATGGAAGGCTGAGTCCACCTTGAATTGGTCAGAATCGAACTGCTGCCAGTCAGCAGAGTTAATCTGCAATACTGCATTCTAACCACAAGGAAGGAAGGGAGGGAGGGAGGAAGAGAGGAAGGAAGGAAGAAAGGGAGGGTGGGAGGGAGGAAGAGAGGAAGGAAGGACACTATCAATAGGACTGAGACTTATATAATGCTTCACAGTGCTTTACAGCCCTCTCTAAGTGGTTGAGAGCTCCGAGGGGGAAGAGGGAATGGAGCTGTCAGAGAGAGGGGGGGCGTCCATCAGCCCTCAGATTCAACAGCCTCCAGGTCTGGAGGTGGCTGATGAGAAAGAGGAGGAGCAGCTGGGCCCAGTGCCCGATGCCCGGAGGAGCAGAAGGCAAAGGAGAGGAGAGCAGTGGAAATCTATGGGCTGGTCCTTGGGACAGAAGAGCCACTGCTGGTACAGAAGCCTCACCCTAGCTGTGGGGATAAGAGGGACAGAGATGAACAGATGTGGCAGACAACTATTCATCTCCCTGCTGGACGGACTTGTTAGCCTGCGTTGAGAGAGAAACTTTTTGCCGAGCTCCTAATCAAGGAAACTTTGAATTCATTTCAGAGAGTTTGTCGTATTTGGGGACCTGGGTCAGAACACCTGTCACTTGCATGGCCCAGTTCCCAACAGCTGGGGACCCCTGGGTTACAAGGCAGGCATCATTTTTATTTGCATTTCCTTTGCTGCCCCCCCCCCTCCGCCAAAGAAGACACTTCCAGCCGGTGTCCCGGCGCTACTGGGCTCCGTCAAGTGGCATCGTGTGTTTAACGGAAATGTTTATGCTCCCGAAGGGACCTTCTCTTACAAAGCAGCGATTGCTGTGCCAAGGACAATTAAACCCTAATTAATGTTACCGTCAAGTGAAGAAGGTTAGCGAGAACTTGGGGGGAGTCTATAAAAATTGAAATGGCTCGAAGACATCTGGAAAGCTGGCAAAGATACGTTGGCAAGGCAAAGCGGTGTCGGACGGCGGAGAGGGAAAAGGTCAGAACTTCCCTGGAAAGCAAATCCTTTCGAAGGCTGCAATCCTACAATTTCCCGACCCAGATGGGATCCTGCAACAGGATCCGTCTATTGGTCTCCATTCGTAAACATTTCTTGGTTTTAAAAAATTGATTGATTGATTTGATTTATTACATTTATATGCCGCTTCTGTCAATAACTTCTGTCCAGAGGTAAAGACATTAAGTCTTTTTAAATTTACAGAGTCATTAAGTAGAGGTAGATTCAAAAATGTTTACTACCGGTTCTGAGGGCATGGCTTGGTGGGCGTGGCAGGGGAAGGATACTGCAAAATCCCCATTCCCTCCCCACTCCAGGGAAAGGATACTGCAAAATCACCATTCCTACTCCATTCCACGGGATGGATACTGCAAAATCACCATTCCTACTCCATTCCACGGGATGGATACTGCAAAATCTTTATTCCTACTCCACTCCACGGGAAGGATACTGCAAAATCCCCATTCCTACTCCACTCCAGGGGAAGGATACTGCAAAATCCCCATTCCCTCCCCACTCCAGGGAAAGGATACTGCAAAATCACCATTCCTACTCCATTCCACGGGATGGATACTGCAAAATCACCATTCCTACTCCATTCCACGGGATGGATACTGCAAAATCA